GGAAATAGTAGAAACACACACATCAACTTGGCTTTTATCAGATGATTTTAACGAAATACTCGATAACTCAAAGAAGCAGGAAGAATCAGTTAGATATGAAGGTTCATTTGTCAATTTCAGAAGTTTTATAGCACATAATGGGTTTTGGGATGTTCATTCAAGCCCTGTTATCGTTTCTTAAGCAATATAAAGATGTGTAAGGTAAAGCACAAACTTGTTAAAATCGTCGTTTACTTTCTCCTATAAGACTCCACGTAGTGAGAGAAACCTTTCTATCAGGGAACTTGGTATGAGGCTCTTCTAGCCAAGATTGGGTGGCGCCTCATTCGTCAACCAAACCCTCTCTTAGCCAGAGTCTTGCTAAGCAAGTATTGTCATAATTCACCTCTTTTAGAATGTATTGCTCAGTCAAATCCGTCACATGGATGGAAGATTATTATGGCTGGAAGAGATATCATCATAAAAGGTTTGGGTTGGCAAATCGGAATAAGAACTAAAATCAGGGTTTGGTCTGATCCTTGGTTGAGTATGGATTAGCCTTCGGTGCCGATAGGACCGCCGAATCTAGCAGTTGCGAACCTACAAGTGGTGGATCTCATGATCCCCATCACTATCCTCTAGGATTGGAACTATATCAAACTTCTCCTTCCCACCTATGAGGATAATATCTGCCTCCTACCAATCAGTTCATCTCGAAGAGACGATTCTTTTGCTTGGCTACCTAATGAAATTGGGAATTACTCTTCTATATCGAGATATGTCTTGACCAAATTTATTGAAGTACCGGAAGAACAACTTAAATTAACTAGCAAGCATTTACGTACTCGCCCAAAAATAAAAAAATTCCTATGGAAATCTGCAGTTGGTGCTTTACTAGTGGGCCAAGCTTTGGTGGCTTGAGGTATCCAAGTTGATCCGAGATGCAAGCGTTGTGGTGGATTTGAGACCCTCAACATGTGTTACGGGATTGCTCTTTTGCACGTGAGGTTTGGGAAACAACTCCGGGAATTCAAAGGGGAGGTTTTTGGCATGGAACTGTCCTACGTTTTCTTCAAGAAACCAAAGGCATTACCCCACTCCCACCAACAAGTCTCTCCCACACATGTTTAGGGGACTGGATTTGTTGGTACCTCTAGACGGCTTGGAACCATCTGGTATTCAAAGATACGACGGTGCAAGAGATAATTCAATAAGCAATACGGTCTAGCCGTGCTTAGAAGGAGGCTCAAAATCAAATCATAAAGCCTCGTATTACAACAGGTTAATGTGACTCCCATTGAGGGTTTCTCGTGCTATGTGGAGGCTTCATGGAACCCATACACGATGTGGTGTGGGCTTGGTGCTTTAATCCAGAGCCTTGATAAGAATAAGATTGTCACGACGATTTCAATCATATGTCCGATGGAGAACGTGTTATTAGCAGAGTCTTTGGCCCTGAAATCGCGCTGTACTTAGCTCGTGAGAAAGGCTTCTTGGAACTAGCTGTTTTCGCCGATTCCCAAACCTTGATGAACATCATCGACTCCTCTTAGTGTCATTACGATATCCATGAGCCTCATGGGAAAACGAAAGGGCATTGGTGCCATCTCTTGATCTTCTGTCTCGTAGAAAGTTCTTTCATATTTATGTCTCATAAGAACATCTACGAAGAAGCTCCCAATCGCATTGATTATTAAATATTGATGTGGTTATAACACAACCCTACATTAAATGCAACTGGGTCAAATATGAACTATCATTTATTTCAAACGGTATGAATGAAATACTCTTGATGTTACAATAGGTTTGATGATGACACTTTCTACATCAAAGCATGTGGAACGTGCGAGAACATAATTTTCGATCTAGTCATGAATATCCCTATCCCATTTCACTTACCACACTTATATGGAAAACGAATTAGCTCAACTTTAAACATGATAACCCAGTCCAATAATTCATCTCAAAGATTTTATGAAAACTAATTCAATTTTCAGGTAGTGAATAAGATCTAAACGATTTTACGTTAAACTTGTGCATATATCTTATGAGATTTAGTCAAATTATCTTAAAAAAATTTTCACTAACATTTTTTCTGTCATTTCCAGTACACATTCGTTCACTCCCTCCATCTATTTATGTTTCGTCTCCCTATGCTATTATTACCAAAATAATACTACATAATATTTTATTTACTACTTTTATATATATACTAGGACATGATTTTTTCAAAATTTACATGTATAAACTGTCCAGTTTTTAGGACATATAACCATATTTTTTCTTATGTAATAGTATATAGATTGTATAGTTGGTTATTAGAAAAAAAATGTTAATTATTATAAGTGATGTTATATTGGGTTCACCAAATTTTCATATGTTTGGATTGTGGATGGCTTTTTTTTGGGTAATAACGTGCTGTAGAGTAA